TAAATATGGCGCCTAAACGACATAAAATCCACTAATATGATCTATATTATTGTTTAAAGCTTCACATATGACGATAAAAATAACCACAACATAGTTTACTTACAAACTGATAACGTATCTCCATTCAAAATTCAAAAATTCAAAATGGCGGATTAAATATGGCGGATAAAATTAAAAATTGAGCTAGACTCGTGAAAATTACTACTTGGGGGTTTTCGAGGTCGCTGATTACGAATCCAGTGTTAGTTTTCAAAAATTCAAAATGGCGGATCCAATATGGCGGACAAAAATTGAAAAAATGGAGCTAATTTCGTAAAAATGTCTACATAGGGGGTTTTTTGGTCGCTGATTACAAATCCAATGTCAGTTTTAAAAAATTTTTAAATGGTTGATGACAAATCTCTATTTAAAATTCAAAATAGCGGATAGAATTAAAAAATTAAGCTAGTTTTGTGATTATTAATTAAATAATCCTCACGTAATTTCCATAAAAAGTTATCTGGCGTTGTATTTGATAAGTTCAAATGGCACCTTTTTACGTTCAATATAAAAAAGTTAGATCAATTTTTTATATTTTGGTCCACCATTTTATATTCACCATTTTGATTTTTTAAAAAGTAACGATGAATTCGTAAAGATTGTCCTGAAAAACCCTTAGGTAGACATTTTAACGAGTTTAGCTCAATTTCTTGGATTTTTGGTCAGCCATTTAGAATTTTTAAAAAGTAACCGCAGATTCGTAATCAGTGGCCCCGAAAACCCCCCAGTAAACAATTTTACGGGTTTAACTTAATTATTTAAATTTTGGGCTACTATTTTAAGTCTGCCATTTTGAATTTTTAAAATCTAATAACGGATTTGTAATCAGCGACCCCAAAAACCCCCGAGTAACAAGTTTCAGGCGAATCTAAACGATTTTTTAATTTTTGTCCATCATATTGGATCCGCCATTTTGAATTTTTGGAAACGAATACCGGATTCGTAATCAGCGACCCTAAAAACCCCCGTGTAACAAGTTTCAATCGAATCTACACGATTTTTCAATTTTTTGTCCGCCATATTGGATCCGCCATTTTGAATTTTTGAAAACTAACACCGGATTCGTCATCAGCGACCCCAAAAACCCCCGTGTAACAAGTTTCAATCGAATCTACACGATTTTTCAATTTTTCCGCCATATTGAATCTGCCATTTTGAATTTTTGAAAACTAACAACGGATTCGTAATCAGCGACCCCAAAAACCCCCGAGTAACAAGTTTCAGTCGAATCTAAACAATTTTTCAATTTTTGTCCGCCATATTGGATCCGCCATTTTGAATTTTTGAAAACTAACACCGGATTCGTAATCAGCGACCTCGAAAACCTCCAAGTAGTAATTTTCACGAGTCTAGCTCAATTTTTAATTTTATCCGCCATATTTAATCCGCCATTTTGAATTTTTGAATTTTGAATGGAGATACGTTATCAGTTTGTAAGTAAACTATGTTGTGGTTATTTTTATCGTCATATGTGAAGCTTTAAACAATAATATAGATCATATTAGTGGATTTTTTGTGTTTTTTATGTCGTTTAGGCGCCATATTTAAGTCGCCATTTTGAATTTCAAAAAGCGCCCAACGGGATTAAAAAGTAGACATTCCAAGCTAATTTTTCCAATATGATAAAATTTTTTTAAATTAAACCAATTATGGAGAGATGGGGTGGTCCGGTTGACAAAGAACGTCCCATATATATATATAAATCCGGTTACAGTTACACTTTCTGAGTTGCTTGTGCATTAAGGTAAAGATTTTAAGGTCATACATATTCAAAAGATGCTTAGCTCCATACGGACCTCTAAAAACCCTCCAAGGTATATGTCCCTACACAGAATAAATAGATAAAAAGAAAATGATAAAGAAAAAAATTGTAATAATACTTTTCAGAGAAATAAATTTGGAACGAAAAACTAAATTAATATAAATATATTTTTTACATAGAAACTTTTTCAAATATTTAATTGTAAATAATTTTATGAATCTGCGTTAGTTTTTAAAAATTTAAAATGGCGCTTCCAATATGGTGGAAGGGAACTAGAAAATTGAATGCTAAGCTTCTAAAAATCACTGGTCGGGGATTTTAATGGTCGCTTTCTATAAAAATATTAAACCAAAAAAAATTATTGTTAACGTTAGAAACAATAGAAATTTTTAGCTGTCTTAAAAAAAATTGTTTATTTATAATATGTTAATAAAAAAAAATTATTATTATTATTGTCCAACAATATAGGGTCAACCGGGGTAAATCCGAACGCTTTTAGTAAGTTTCAACAATAACACAGGCACACAAAAAATAAAAAGTTGTTTGGCCGAGACACTACACTAGTCTATTTTCATGTATTTTTTCACGCTGAATCCGAATCCGAAGTCAGAATTATCAGATTGGCTCTTATTTTTGAGATAAACTCAAAAAACTGCTCAGAAAGAAAAATAAAATCAAAAAGTTAAAAAATTTTTGAATGTCACTGCGATAGTCTAATTCCATGTATTTTTTGTCGCTGAATCCGAATCCAAAGTCAGAATTGTTAGATTCGCTCAAATTTTTGAGATAATTGCAAAAAAACACAAGTAACAAAAAACTCAAAATCAGTTTTTCGGAATTATCTTCAAAATTTGAGCCAATCTGTCAATTCTGACTTCGAATTCGGATTCAGCGTGAAAAAATACATGAAAATGCACTATCGTAGTGTTTCGGCAAAAAAAATTATCTGTGCAGAAACTTGTCGAAAATCGACCACCAGGAAGTATTTAATGTTCTTACCCGAACTTTTTATAATTTTTATTCCTATTATCACTTCCACTTTTTTATTTTCATTACCGTTTCCACTTTCACTTTTTCTAACTCTCATTCCCATTTTCACTTCCACTTTTTATAATTTTCATGCCCGTTTTCACTTCCACTTTTTTATTTTCATTACCACTTCCACTTCCACTTTTTATAATTTTTATTCCTACTTCCCTTTTTCTAATTTTCATTCCCACTTCTACTCCCATTTTTTCCACTTCTAATTTCCATTAGCTGTTGCCATTTCGACTAAATCTCTTTCTAGTTTCCATTTACACAACCATTTCCACTTTTTTTAATTACAATGGATGGAAATTAGAAAAAGTGAAAGTGGTAATGGAAATTTAAAAAAATATAGGAATGGAAGTGGGAGTGAAAATATAAAAAAGTTGTAATGAAAATAAAAAAGTGGAAGATGAAATGGGAATGAAAATTGGAACAAGTGGAAGTGGAAGTGAAAGTGGGAAGGAGAATTAGTAAAAGTTGTAGTTGCAATGAATATAAAAAACTGAAAGTGGAAATAGGGATGGAAATGAAAATTAGAAAAAGTGAAAGTGGCAATGAATATAAAAAAGTGGAAATGGAAATGGGAATGAAAATTATAAAAAGTTTAAGTGGAAGTGAAAGTGGTAATGGGAAAGTAGTGGCAAAGTTTCTGTGAAAATATATTTTAGAAACTCTTAATTTTTTTTTATAGAACATTAGTAACGTTAGTAACGTTAATTTTTCACCTGGGAATATTGTACACTCCTAGCCATATATATGGCTACACTTTTTTTTCCTTTTTTAACACACGTGTTGTCATGACAACATATGCGTTAGAAAAGGACAAAAAAGTGTAGGCAAATCTGGCCAAGAGTGTAAACTTTCCGAAAATTATTAATGAACAACATACGCAACTTTTTTTATGGAAGAATATAATTTTGGACTCCTGCTTCCCAATCCTGTTTGTTTACAAATGTCATTAGAAAATTAAGATATTGTGTATTGAAAAATGATCCCAATTTTTGGATGATTTCTAAAAAATAATTTCAATGTTTGTATCAATTTAATACCATATATCGAATAAAAACGTTGCATTCCAAAATATCATGAAATTAATAGTGTGTATATGTCAAAAGATAATAAAAGTGCAATATACTCCTTAAATTGATTTTCTGCGTAGCGGTAGATTAAATAAATCTCTTGAGAATTCGTTTAGAGTGAGAAATTAACAAAAAAACAAAAAAAAAAAAAAAAAAGATTTAACATCCTGAGAGAAATCAGAGACTATAATGTTCATTAAAATTCCGATGGTGGACCAAGATTCGTCGGCAATCAACCCTAGTGAATGAAGTACTAATGTCATTGAAAATACGTGACGTTAAAAAGGCCGGTTTTTTTTTCTTTTCTACATTTGACGACATTTCTAGAAAGTGTAAAATGTAACAGAAACAAGTTGTGTCTGATTGAAAGAAATGTAGAATCATGATTTTGAATAGTAGAGCTCTATATATATATGCGTTTTGTTGAATTGTTTTAAATGCTGCCAACGTGTTATAGATTTTTATTACAACTATTATTTCATACTCTATAATATATATATATATATATACATATATATATATATATATATATATATATATATAAATATTTATTTGTTTCAAATAAATTTTATTTATGATAAATTAAATTTTTTAAATTGAAACAAAAAAAAATTATTAGGCTCTGAGAGACAAATATATTTTTATTCGATTCAAATAATTTAATATAAAAATGTACAATATATTATTTCGAGTCAAGAAAATTTAAAATTTCGCCCTTGATATTAATTTAATTTAAATAAACAATAAAATTATAAATTCAATTTCTTTAGCCATCTATTATTTACATTAATAAATAATAATTTTTAAGTAGATGATGATTATTATTATTATTATTAAAAAAGAAGAATAAATTTCTAACGTCTGTTTTTTAAAATGTGTCTCAAATAAAATACGTAATTGCTAATTTTGTTCAAATAATAAAAAAAAAAAAACGACGTAAAAAAATATATACGTGGAAAAATTGTAATAAATTTTAGTTTTTTAATGTTTACTCTTTAGTTCCAACGTTATTTTTTTTTGAAAAATTCACCTGTGTCAATAATTCTTTATTAGCTATATCTTATATATAAATGTAATTTATGTGAACAATTTTTATTATAAGTAGCTCTTCATCAGTTCATTCTAATCAGTATTTCGATTTAATTAGAAATTTTTTTTGATTTATTAAAAAAATGAGACAATTTCTTTTAATTTTTGGATTAATGGGCATTGCCCTTTCATCAACATTCGCACAATTTAATCCAAATCAAAATAATAATTTTGATCCAAATGTGGCTTACACTCAAGGACTTCCAAATTTAAATAATCAAAATCAAAATTCTGGTTTGAATCAAGGACCACCTTTAAATTATCAATATCAAGGTCCAAATCCAGGTCAGAATCAAGGACCACCTTTAAATTATCAATTTCAAGGTCCAAATCCAGGTTATGGATATCCAGTTCCAAATGCGGCTAATGTAAATTATCCAGGTCCATTTGCACCTGGTTTTAATTATGGAAATCCAAATTATCCAGCTTTTGCACAACCACAACAAAAATTAAATGTCGATGATTCTCTTCAGAAGATGTTTGGCAATATGACACCAGAGGAAAATGATGGTGTACAAGAGATATTTAAATTTATGAAAAGTTTAAATGTAGGAGAAAATTTTGAAGGATTAAAAGTAACAGCTGTGACAAAAAATAATAGTTTTTTACAAACAATGATTAGTTATGTAGAAGGATTCTTTAACATAATTCGTCGTGTTCTTTCAATTCTCACTCTTGGAGCGTCGGAAGGAGTCTTCAGTTTTTTGCAAAGACTCTTTTTTTCACATTAAACTATTTTTCAAGTAAGTGAAAAGAATTTTTTTTTTTTAATTTATTAAAATATCATAATTGTACTTATAATAAATAGAAATCGATGATTTCTAAATTATTTATTAGAATTTTTATTACACAGAATTTCATTATCGAAAATTTACTTTTTATTTGAATGCATGATTATATTCTAAAAATCATTATATTATAATTTTCATTTTATTGAATTTCATTTGTCATAATTATTTTTGAGCCGAATTTTTATTTGTTCGAATTAGTATTTTGCAGAATTTTCATTAAAACGATTTTCTATATTACAGAATTTTTATATAACCGAATATTCACTTCACAGAATTTTTATTTGCTCGAATTTTCAGTCAATAAACACAGAAAAAAAAGGTGAGTAAAAAGTTGTAAAGATAGAGGATAAAAGTCGTTGGGATACAGGGTAAAGGATAAATTTGTGATAGATAAAAATGTTACTAAAATATTACTAGATAAATGGTTGAAATATTTGAGTAAACTGTCTAATTTTAATAAAAATATTAGTAATTTTACACTTAACTTATTAAATTCACAAATTTTTTATAAATAAGTATAGTTGCATGTGAAAATATTTTCTTCCCCGTAAGAATAACATTGTGTCGTCTGTTTTGTTGTCCCTCCAGGCCTCTGACGTCATATCTTGAACTCGAAATATCTCGATGAACTGACAGAGCCTAATATGCACAAAAAATTCAGTTACTACCCAACTCTGCTTTCGTGCAACAATACAGACGTTGAGTTGTAATTTCCCAGTTCTGATTATTTACGCACTGTCGTCAGCTGTCAGTTGTATTAGTCAAAGATATTTTTATTAATAGACAATAATTATAGGCAAAATATTTCCACGAGCAATTAGTTATTTATATAAAATTTGTGGATTTAATAAGTTAAGTGTAAAATTACTAATATTTTTATTAAAATTAGACAGTTTACTCAAATATGACATCCATTTTTCTAGTAATATTTTAGTAACATTTTTATCCATCACAAATTTATCCTTTACCCTGTATCCTAACGACTTTTATCCTCTATCTTTACAACTTTTTACCTACCTTTTTTTGTGTGAAGACAAAAAGTGCCATTAAATGTAGACAGGCAGTTCTAAATGGATTTTAGTAGTTTGGGGGGGGAAGGTAGTATAAAGGCCCCATAGTTTTCTCTCGATTTCCGGTTGCAGAAATTATATTATAAACAATTGTTAAAGTTGGTGAAAGGTGGTTTTTGCGTGCCCGTTGCTTTTCTCTACATTTTAGAGGATTCGCGATACTGAACAAAATGAAAAAACTTCGAACCCAATCGAATGAATAGTTTGTAAATTATTTCATTTGTTAATTAAAAACATATTTTTTTTCAACCTAATTTCTACAGAACGATATGGAGCGAATTAAATTTTTTTTCCTGTCATTATACTCTTGAAGAATGATACTATCATGTATATAAAAGAAAGAATTGAAATTCATTAATTAATTGCATAATTATGGATAGAGAAAAAATGGTACGTTTTTTAGATATAAACAATTGCAATTACTCGGACAGTTTTTACTCTATCGGATTCTAATGAAGGCCATTGCATTTCTTTTTTCTTTACAAAACTTTTTTTAAAAAAAGAAAAACAGTCTAGCTGAAAGGGGGAGGGAGATAATTTTTTTTTTCAAAAAATTCCTAACACTATAATTATTATTATTTTTTATCCAAAGTTACAGTACTTAAAGTTTAATACGTGTACTGTAAGATAAAAAATTGTAAACATTGAAAGAATTTTTTTTTCTTATTTATAATGAAAGTCAAAGAGAGTTTATCATTTTACCTTGCTCCAAATGACGGAGTGGGGGAAGTCATAGCGCCGGTAGCCGCTTGCCACAAAATTGAATTCGCCCGTTTAAATTTACAAAAGTTGTTGTAAGTCGATTAATTATTAACCGATTTCAATCTTTCTTTTTTTGATTTCATATTATTTTTTCTCCTCTTTTCAAAAATGACCTTAGATTTTTAATAAACAAAATTTTTTTAACAATATTTAAACAATTTTTTTTTAATAACAAAATATTTGAATTAATTCAAACATTTTTATCCTTTTTTTTAATGCATATAATTTTAAGCCTTTTAATGTTATTTTATGTTTAAAATTTTTCAAAATTATTGATATATAAATTATAGAATTATAGAATTAAAAATAACCTCGTGAACAAAATTTTGAAAAATTCATTAAAATTTACTTGAAATTTCTTATTCAGGGGTTATTAGGTTCGTTAAATACAAAACTGAACTTAGTTTTTGAAAATTCAAAGTGGCTGATCCAATATGGCAGACGATTTTTTAAAAATTTACCAATTTCGCCTAAAAGTTTTAACTCAGGGGTTTTTAAGGCTGTTGATTTCAGATTTTTTTTCAATTTATTCACTAATTTCGAATGTAATATCACTTTTTTAATTAGGACTTTCAAAATTTCCCAATAATAAGTTTAATAAATACCTATTCAATAATTTGTTTAAATTTCATTTGATATTTTGAATTTTTAAAATCTGATTTCAAATTTATAATCAACGACCTCAAAAACGCCCGAATGGAAATTTTCAAACGAATACAATAATAAAAAAAAACCGTCTGGCAGTGTAGGTGAATGTGAAAGTGAAAACGAAGCTGAAGTATACGCAACGTTTATGACAAACCGATTTTTAAAGAATTAATTTTTTTAAAATGAAAAATTCTATAATTCTTTGCCTAAAAAATATTTCTTATAGTTTTTATTAATCAACAAATTATATATAAATATTTTTTTAGGTAAACAATTTTATAATTTTCCGTGTTAAATAAAAATTGATTTCTAATCGTTGATCATATAAACGTTGCGTACTTCAGCATCGTAAGTGAAAATAAAATTAAACGATCGCACATCTGGTTTTTGATTATTATTAATAAATCTTTAATTAAAATAAAAATAAATTGTTACATTAACGTCATTAAAATTTTTGTTACAGAAAAGTTTGAAGCATGGACAATGTTGCAACAATATGTAAAACAACATTTTTTTAATGTTACTTCTATTAATTAAAATCAATGCATTTGTTTCATTATTTTAATGATAAAGTGAAAAGTATTATTATTAATCTATTACATATTTTATATATTACAATTTAAATGAAAAATATTATGTAACTTAACATTGTACAACAATGGCTAAATGTTTTTTAAGTTCTATTCAATTTTTTTTTATATTTTTATGTATGAATTTTCAATATACATTTAACCAAGATTGAAAAATTATCAAAATATATTATAAATACAGTACCTTGAAACGCAATTTTACTTCATTTTTGTAAAAAAAAAAAATTATCTGAATATGTTTCGATGATTTGTAAATTGAGGAACGAAAAATTGACAATTACTTTTATTATAGGGTAATTAAAAAAAACTAAATAGCGATATTAATTGAAAAACTATTTTATAAATAGCAAAAAAAAAAAAAAAAAATTTTTTTTAAAACTTCTTGACTAAAAATTTTAAATTTGAAAAGTATTTCTATCATGGAATAAATTTCCTTTATTTCATCACCTTTTATTATATAGAAGTTTTATCAAGCACAAATATACATTAAATCGATACAAGCCAAAAAACAATAAATTTCATGATTTTTGATTAGTTTCCCGAACATTGCTTCTATTAACTAAGATTAAATTTACTTTTATTAATTTTTTTTTTTTTTGCATATATAGTGCAAATATGTCCAAAATTAAAAAAAAATGCTTTAATAGATTAAAAATTTATTTATTTCCATAAATTAAATTAAATGTTGTGCCAGTAAGTATTGCCGTACATTCCACATTTTCTTCCAAGAAATTCAAAATGTTGTCTAAACAATCACAAACTGTTGTCGTTTTTGAAGACACCGATGATGGTGCATTAGTTCTTAATTTTGAAATTTCGATTTTCGAAGTGGTATTCTTTTCAGTTACACTTGACAATTAACTTAATGTTGTAATTTCGGAAATCAATGAAGAATTTAATGTCAAGGACGAAGGTTGTACTTTCAGAATAGTGGATTGTACTAAAGGAATTGGAGATTTTTATGTAACATTTTGTACTGTAGAAGAAACAGGTCTTGGAATAGAATTATTTGATTTTAAAGTAGAAGTTAATTTTATTGTACACGGAAAGAAATCTTGTTAGAATATTTAATAAATCTGAATAGAAATTTTGATATTTTTGTTTTTCAATTGCGAAACATTCTGGTTTGATAATAAAAGTTGGTATAGTTTTACGAATACCTTTAACTGGAAACATTTTACGAAAACTGAAATTATTATTTCTTAATTCAAATCTACAATTTTCGAATATTGAAAAAACTATATAGGAAAAAACAGTATAGAAAGTAAACAGTCTAGCACTTTGTTATTTACTAAAATACAAAAAATCAGAAGCAACATTTCGTAATTTGCTAAAACTATACGAAAAAGTAGGAGTGGTGTTATAAAATATAGCACGTTTCAATATTTGCTAAAACTATACGAAAAAGCAGGAGCCGTGAGAAAAAGAAGAACGTCGGAATCACCAATGGCTCTTTTCTAATTGTAAATATGAGTGTAAAAATATTAAATATTCTAACAAGATTTCTTTCCGTGTAGAAACAGATTGTATTGTCGACACAGAAAAAGCATCACTTGAATCACAACTTATATTTTACAATCATATCCCACTTTTGGAATAAAAACCAAACTGTCTATTCCTTCATGACATTTGGACTTAGTTTTAACTCTATGAACTAGTGATTTTGTAGAAATATTCACAAACAATAATGAAAATGAAAACAATTTGTGCATTTTATTGAAAAGTTATACACTTAAGTATGTCGTGAATTATTCTAACTGAAAAATTTATCACAAAATTGGTCTATAAATTTTTTATTACACTTTTGAAAATTTTATTACATAATAACTGTATGAACATAAATGTTGATATTTTGAAGAAAAAAAACGATTCTTGTACATCTGAAAAAAATAAAGAATTTAGCTATGCTTTTGCTATTAATATATACAAGTTTAGATAATAACATAAAGCGTACGTAATACGTAAATTTACCTTTGTTCACTTTAATAAGGTTTCTTAAAAAGCTGATCGAAAAATTTACCAGCGTATCCAAATATTGAATCTCTGGCAAAATTGCCAATCTTTTGGTGACAATCGTCAAAACGATTGACAAGATTTTGCAAAATATTATTATCTTTCTCCTTATTTGCTGCTGTTTTCACTTCATTCATTATATCTTCCAACATTTTAAGATACATTGACTCCATTGTTTTAATATGAGATGAACATTGAGATTCGCTTAATCCTAAATTAGAATATAATGGCTGCGGCTGAAATTTCACTGGCCATCCAGATTGATAAATCTGATTTCCGTTTTGTGAATATTGATATCCATTTTGTGGTAATTGATTACCATTTTGTGGAATTTGATTTTGATTCTGAAGATAACTGTTCTGATAATTATTTTGTGGATATTGATATCCATTTATTAACTGATTTTGATATTGAGTTGGTAAATTAGGATTTCCATTTAATGCATTTTGTTGTGTGTTATGTAAATTTTGATATCCATTTTGCTGATACTGATTCTGATTTTGTTGATATTGATTCTGATTTTGAGAATATTGATTCGGATTTTGTTGATACTGATTCTGATTTTGTTGAAACTGATTCTGATTTTGTTGATACTGATTCTGATTTTGAGAATATTGATTCTGATTTTGTTGATACTGATTCTGATTTTGTTGATACTGATTTTGTGGATATTGATTCTGATTTTGTTGATATTGATTTTGATTTTGTTGATTCTGATTTTGATTTTGTTGATTCTGATTTTGTTGATTCTGATTTTGTTGATTCTGATTTTGATTTTGTTGATTCTGATTTTGGTGATTCTGATTTTGGTGATTCTGATTTTGGTGATTCTGATTTTGTTGATTCTGATTTTCTTGATATTGATTTTGATTTTGTTGATTCTGATTTTCTTGATATTGATTTTGATTTTGTTGATATTGATTCTGATTTTGTTGATATTGATTACTAGAATTAACTGAATTGCTTGAGTATGGATTAGATTGTATTGTTGAATTGGATTCTGGCAATAATTTACTAAACGAATTGAGTGGTCCAAGGAAATTTACCTCGCCATTGTTTGAAGTACCATGTGATTGAGTGAAACTTTGTTGTGGTGTCTGTCCCTCTTTACGGTTAAATTCATCTTCTATATTGGAGGCAACAATTTGTTTGGGTTCATTGGCAGATACTGAATTAGCGTGAATCGACAAGAAACTAACACTTGCCAAAATAAATGTCAAAAGAAATAATTTCATTTTAATTTTTTCCTAATAAGTATGTTGTTGCTGTTATTTCTAAACTATGACTGATACTATAATGAAATTTCGTATATAAAATTCTTTTTATTTATTCGAGTATGATAAGAGATAAATTCTATAAAAGACACTTTCGACAGAATTAATTAATTTAAATTTTTTCAAATTTTTTTTTTTTTACAAATTGTCCTCATTTAATAAACAGATGCTGAATGTAAATTTTGAATAGAAATCTATTTTTTTTTTTGACGAAATTTACATTTCAAATTCAAATAACAATAGATTAGATAAAATTTAGTACAAATAATTACAAAGTTGAGAAATTTAAAAAACATACAGCAAACGAATTTAAACGAATTAAATACTACAAGCCTTGAATTTTTATTAATAAAATAATTACAATGGAAATGAATTGCAACATTCTTTTTTTTTATGAATGTTGTTTATTTAAATTATTTCTGTTTTGAGTGAATTTCATTTTTTCCATTCCATGAAGAATAAACATTCCATTTGAATTTTCATTAAAATCATTATTCATTGGTTTATTGTTTGTGATATAATTTTCAGGTTCAAATTTAAAACCTCTTACACCAAAAATAGTTAAACCTTCATTTTTTTTATTTCCAAATGAAAAATTTGTATTCATATCGTTCATTGTTCTTTTAAACATTCGTTTGTAGTGTATTAAAATTTTTCCTATATCCACAGGAAATTTAATTTGAGATGTATAACTTTCGCTTGAATCTTGATAAAATGTCTGCACTTGAAAAAAATACAATAAAAATATGACAAGTTGAAAAAAGTTAAACATTCTTTTAGAATACTTAATAGAATATACACTGAAGTTCTTGAATATTTTTTTTAAAACTGTTTTATTCTTTCTTTTTTATCAAGAGCGAAGTAAATTATTTTTGGTAATTATTTATGAATTACGACTTAAATGGGGAAATAAAATTACGATTGATTACGATATTATGTATACATTCTTGCAATGTAGAGCAGCAGAATATTATTTTTTCGTTAATTCATTAGTGTACAAAATTTTTTATAATTTTTTATTTTGTAGTTATAAATAAATTACTTACATCTAGTAATGTAAAAAAAAATTTATAATATTGAGGGAAGGGAAGGGAAGGACTTACTGCTTTATTAGGGTCTTAAAACAAACATAACCTCAAAATTTAGGTCAATTTTTGGAGGAGGGGAAATGAGAGGAGGGAGGGGGGACTTGCGGCTATATTCAGAGCCTTGAAACGAACATAACCTCAAAATTTAGGTCATTTCTGGCGGGGGAGGGGAGGGGACTTGCGGCTATATTCAGAGTCTTGAAACGAACATAACCTCAAAATTTAGGCCATTTTGGCGGAGAAGGGGAAATGAGAGGAGGGAGGGGGGACTTGCGGCTATATTCAGAGCCTTGAAACGAACATAACCTCAAAATTTAGGTCATTTCTGGCGGGGGAGGGGAGGGGACTTGCGGCTATATTCAGAGTCTTGAAACGAACATAACCTTAAAATTCAGGCCATTTTGGCGGAGGAGGGGAAATGAGAGGAGGGAGGGGGGACTTGCGGCTAAATTCAGAGCCTTGAGACGAACATCACCTCAAAATTTAGGAGGGGGGACTCCCCCTCCTAGGTCAAGAATTCTTGAAACAACGGCGGCGATATCTTTTTGTAATATAGGAAGATATATATATTATATATATATAGCTTTCGTACTTTCACAAATTTGTTAAATTTTAAAATTGTTTAAAATTATAAATCTAAAAAACACATACTAAAAATATACTAACCTTTTATTTTTCTTTATTAACTTCGTAATTAATGATTTCAAATGTTTTGAATCTCTAACAGATTACCATGATTAATTTGATTTCGTTTAAGCCTTGTTTTGATAATTCTCGAACCAAATTTTTCAAACAGCATCATTATTCTATTACCTTTTTTCATTTTTAGATTCTTTATTTCTTAAAAAGAAACATTATTTAAGAAGTTTTATGTTCTAAGCTATATATACAAATAGACTGGGTAGCGATTATGTATTTTGATTTAACTTTGACATCAAAGTCATTTTCATTTTGACTTAGTAGTCAAATGTCATTTTTCGTAGTTTTACTTAACATGATTGTTTTGATTTGTCAAATTATTGTAATATCCACAATTTATTTAGGAATTAAATTATAAAAAAGTAAAGTAAGTAATTTTAAACAGTTAAAAAAGCGGTATAATTAAGGAATTTTTAAAAGATTAATAATTAGGTTAAAATTATTTAATAAAAAATTATTTCATCTGTCAACGGTAAGTAGTTTTTAATGTTGAAACCAGGGATATGTTATAATTGTTTTGAATAATGCCTTACTTTCATTTTTATAAATGTAGTCAGAATAAAATAAACAATAAAATCAAAAACTAAAGAAGAAATTATGTCGTTTAAAAGATAATTCAAAACATAAAAAATTACTTACATTTGACCGATGAAATATTTTTTTTCTAAAATAATTTTAACTTAAATTAGTTTCCTACTGTTTTGAGCAAATTGACATTGTGTACATAATTTATTGATGTAATTTAAAATAGAAAATGCTCAACATAAATTATTATTAAAAATACTCAATTTTTTGGCATAATGTAATTAAACTTTTATTCCATAAATTTGTTCATATTTAATGTGCGAATGCGTAGGAAAAATAAAATTTGTGGTCGAAGCAATTTAATTGTTATTATTTATGCATAATTGTTGAGTTTTTAGTTCAAAAACTTCGCGCCACCATTGTTTTTATGAAAAATAATTGATATCCTAGAACTTTTTTTAAACTTTTATTGCATAAATTTGTTCATATTTAATGTGCTAATGCGTAGGAAAAATAAAATTTTTGGTCGAAGCAATTTAATTGTTATTATTTATGCATAATTGTTGAGTTTTTAGTTCAAAAACTTCGCGCCACCATTGTTTTTATGAAAAATAATTGATATCCTAGAACTTTTATTAAACTTTTATTCCATAAATTTGTTCATATTTAATGTGCTAATGCGTAGGAAAAATAAAATTTTTGGTCGAAGCAATTTAATTGTTATTATTTATGCATAAATGTTCAACTTTTTGTTCAAAATATTTGCGCAAAAACAATTTTAATAAAAATTAAGTGATATTCTAGAATTGCGTAAATTTTTTATTATTTAATGTAAATATTACTAGAAATATAAAATTTTTTGTTAAAATTATGTAAGTGTTATTAATTATGCATAAATGTTAAATTTGAATTTTACTATCGTTGCGCATAATATAACATTTAATATAACCCCCTTACTAATTTAAAAATAAATGTCATAATTTATGTTTTACTTTTTTATACGTAAGAGTTGGTATATTGTTAGCTTTTATGTGCTAAAATGTTTAAATAATCATTTGTTTAATATGAGTTTTTGAATAGAATAACATTAGTGTTTGGATTATTGCCCGCTTGCGACGCCTATGTAATATTGCTTGCGTGGCGCTGTGAGCGTTTTGTGAGACGAATTGTGACGTCTCATACTTCAGCTACATGTGTAAATAAAACTTAACGATTAATTTTATTTAAACTGTAATTAATTATATATATATATAAATAGTAATATTTAAATAATTCTTTCAATTTTTCCTCTTAACATATGTGAATAAATAAATAAATAAAATAATATTAATGTTTTAATTATATTTCATAAATTAAATTTTTTTTAACCTCTTACTTATACTTAGTTTGTTAAAGTTAGAAAAGTTTTTTTAAAAATCCTTGTAATGCTGTCTTGATCTTTTTAAAATTACTTACTTCACTTTTTCATCATTTAATTCCTAAATAAAGTTTTTATTCTGAAATTTTTAATAAAGGGAAAAAAGTAATTATCCCAGTCGAAAATCGTAAGTTTCCCTGAAGGGTTCACATGGCCTTCAGGTAACTGTTATGAAGGTTTCAAAAGCTTCATGGCAACTATTTATACATTAGACCTAAAATTCTGTGATATTTGCTTTCTGACTTCTTAACCGGAAGCTTTTTCTACAGCTTGTTGAATATCTGTGGACAGCTTCTAGCAAAAGGTCTACCAGTTTGCTTGGTGAATGCTTTCCTAATGCCTGGTTTAATGTGTAAGAAAGCAATTCTATTTGCTTTTCACAAGTTGCAAATTAATATGTAATTTAATTACCTTTTTTACACTTCCTGAAAACTAGAATAATTTCATTAAATTAAACTAAATCGAAAAATTATAAAAATTCTATAGTAATTTGTAAATCCGTTTTATACAATTAATAATTATTCTTTATATATTATATAAAAATTACTTTTCAAAGAAAACGTTTATTTTTAATCACTTAAATTATATACGAAAAAAATTATATATAACTTGAGCAAAATTTGGGGTTAGGAATACGAACACGGTGAAAACCTTTTATATTGAATAATGAATACAATTTCTTAAAAAAAGACAAAATATTTAATATTTAAAAAAAAAGATTATTATTTTTATACTTGATATTTATGAATATTTTTTATAAATAATATATTCTTTATTCTTTTAGAATTTCATAATTTATGAAAATGAATTTAACAGCGTATTTTTATTTACAAATTTTGGTTAACAACAATGTACTAAAAGTTAAAATACCGAGTCTGACGTAAATAATTTTTCTTTAATTCTTCAATATTTAAATATAATAATCTAATACATAATATTTTTACGAGATAAATAAAGATGGAAAGAAAGGTTAAATTTAATTTTTGATCATTGTCATTTTCCGCTGTTTCCTGAAACATCCATGACGCTTCATTTAATTTTCGCCACCTGAACGCTTTCTTTTTATATATGCAAAATCCTGCAACTCTTTGATAACTCTCTCAAAGCTACTTGAATGCTTTGTTTAAAACGTACAAAATTTGTTATTTTCAAGCTTTCCGTGGAAGCGAAAAATCGGCCATAACAGGCTTCCTGAAAGTTTTCTATAGCTAGTTATCTACTGTCTTACAATTCTCTAATGGTTATCTCAATACTTCAAAACAACTTTTTGTTCAGCTTAACATAGCGTAGGATTTTCGACTGGGATACTTCAAAATTGTGGTTATTACAATTTGACAAATCAAAACAATCATTTTACGTAAAACTATGTAAAATGACATTTGACTACGAAGTCAAA